CCACAATGGCACAGCACTGGGATGGGTGTCAACACTTTCGCCCGGCACCGTATGAGCCTTTGCTTCGCAATTTCAATAAACCACATTCCTGGTGCAGTGCAATTCGGGAAGAGAGAGCAGTTCTTTCCCATAGTCACTGGTGCCCTCGCAATACCTAAAGTCACGGCTGGGGCTGTTCAAAGGCTTGCCCTGCCGTGTTTTTTTACTGTGCGCGTTGAGACCTCCCTGCCCCCCGATTCTCAAAGGACGGTGCTCCTCTCTTAGGAGATCGTGGGTAGCCTGGAAGGAGCAGTGTAATACACAAACCCCTGATGATGTCAGCTTGTTATTGACTTTCCGAGTCTGAATGACTGAGCAAAGGACTGGGGGTGGAATCTATCTGTCAGGAGCCGGTGCCCAGCCAGGCGAAAAAAACTCCGCCGGCCGGCCGTGGGGGAAGGGCGATGCGCAGACACCATCCCCTTTCAGAGCTGCGCAGCTTCACGGTATTTTACAGCCTCCTGGGCGCACGATCGGCGAGAGCCGGGTTCGACTTGCAGTGTAACCATTTTTCAAGAGAGGAAATAATGGCGGAACAGATAGGGGTGACGCATACCCCTCCCCATACACCATCAGCGCCATCATGCAAACTGTTCAGCCACCGCTCGGTATGAACCAGAAAACGCGTCTCAAGATCACCGATTACATAACGCGTCCACCAGGAAAGGCTTCTCTCTCTCGCCTTGTGCCAAAGCCCCATCCCCCCGACGCGCAGTGGAGGGAAGAGAGATGGTATCCGAAGTTTCTTCACAGGCTGCACAGACAAGTACAATACCCCCCAACCCCAGAGATAACTCCCCGTTTCCAGTAACTTTCCTCCGCCCTGTCATCCTCATCTTCAGTGGTAGCTTGAACCCCCTGGAGATACGCCTGACTAAGCCCGTCTTTGGCAGCTACAGTGGATTTAAGGAGCCCGATACCCCCCTCGTCACTGTGCTCCGGACACCCTGAGGGTCAGGCGGTGGTCTCAGGCCACAAGGCATCATACTGTATGTCCAGATCTAATGAAACGATGCCGGTGAAGGCAAACCTAGAAACTTGTGGCAAACTCTTTTGCAATACCGCTTCACCTGATGAGCAGTCAGAATAAAGGGCTCGTATACGTAAATGTTGAGCAGTAATGTATGTAAATTGTTTGTCTCAGTACTGTACACGTCTGGCTTCCAGGCCAGAAGCAGATACGCTCCTAAACTGGAAAAGCTGGAGAGTCACTCAGGGCCTCTGTCTTCTTGCTCACACCAGGAGCAGGAGGGGCGGGATTGCTACCTGCTGTGGGAATCGTTTGTCAGATGTCAGGATTTTGCTGAGGAATTTGTGGATGTGCATATGAGATGACTGCGTGTGCCGAGATGTGATTTTCTAAACATTTTCTTGAGATAAACCTGTTAAAACGTGTACACCGATTTTTAACAACACTAACTGCATCCTAGTCCTAAGCAAGCTGCCCTGCTGTTCCATGATACTTCTCTCAGGAAGGAAGTTAATTGTTAAAACTAAGAGCTCCCAATATAATGTAAATGAATATGAGGCTCACTTGATTGAAAAATGAATCTGTGACAATTCTGCATAGATTGTCTGAAACAAGTCACCTACGGGCTCAGAAAATGGGCACAGCTCAGTGCTGAATAATTCAGACGATCTTCTCTGGCAGTGTCCTTAATCTGAATGATCTAGGTTACATTTCTACAGGACCCAAGGCGTCTTATCGGTGCGGTCTTCGCAGCCCTGTGAGAGTTCCCTGCCCTGCCCATTAAACAGCCAGTAATAAGATTAAGAGTGGTGCTGGTCCAGCCCCTGGTGAAGACACGGCGGCTCAGGACAGCACATATTTTGGTTGCATTCCCCACAGCTATTCCTATTCCCACAGATTTAGGACTGGAGTATTTTAAAGGCAGGGTTTCCGAAGTGTGAACCACAATTTACAAGGGGCACAAAGAGAAGGAAATGACCGCAGTGAGTGAAACCCATTGAGCTGCGTGTCCGCCGTGAGGGCCCGGTGTGGTGCAGCTGCCCGCTGGACACTCGCCCTGCTCCTGGGTTCTGGGAGCGTGCTGCTCTCCCGCACTCTTACTGGTCAGGGTTTGTACGACAGCGTTACAACAACAACAACAACAACAACAACAACAACAACAACAACAACAACAACAACAACAACAACAACAATGCCATCAGCTGCTGGCTGGCAGGCAGGACACCAGTGTGCAGGCCTGAGGGACGTGAATGTCCCCCCTGACGCTACAGAAGTCTCTCGGATGTTGCAGGAGGCTGCCTGTGGACGGGGGACGGGGCTGTCAGGGCATCTTTCCGGCTCTTTCCTCGTGTCTCCGAGGACACGGCGGGGGATGGGCGTGACGGGGGAGAGTCTCCCTGCCCCCACAGACACGCGAGCAGTGGGACCTGGCAGCCACCCCGGCTACAAGCGGAGATTGTTTCTTAAAGGGGGAACCGAGATTACAAAGGCTGCTGATCACCATTAACAGTTGCGGTTTCGTAGTCTGTCCCCCAGTGCGGGTGTATTTTTGAGTTGTTGTTTTTCTAATTACGCACTTGACATAAAAAAAAACCTTCTAACTTTCTAATCTGTTGGGTTCTTAATGAATATCTGTTGGGAGGAATTGGTAACAGCTAGTCTAACCCACTCAGTGGCATGTGACAGTGTCAGGCAGCTCTGCTCCCAGACGGGAGCCCTGCTCGGTGTCTCCCAGTTCTGCCCGTCCTAGGTGCAGCGGTGGACATCCAGCAGTGCTCGTCTCTGTCTCAGGTGTCCAGGTACCAGATGGGTTCCCTGAGGGACCCGTGGCCTGGATTGTGCAGAGAAATGACATCGTGTGTTACTTAAACCCGTCTCCAGCGGGGAGGACATGAAAGGCTCTCGATGCAATGAAAAAAATAAGCACGCAATAATTTTTTTTTCTCTCTAGAAAGGGTTTCCCGCTTCTAAGCTCGAGAGTAGATAAGTGTGTGAGTTTTAGCAAAACACGCCTCTTCAGCATTCAACCCCCATAGTTTATAATACCATAGACCGTGTTAGACACACAAGTGCAGCACGGGTGTTACGCTCTCTGCTCGAGGTGAGTTCTGTGTGTGTTCTTGCATAATCGAACGTGTGGTCTCAGAGCAGGCCAGGATAAAATTGTCAGCTGGGTTGTCAATCCCAAATCCCTCCTCCTGCTGGGGCTGTTCGCTGAGCTGGGCGCGAGAGGTCTCTTGCAGACAAACAGTGACACGCAGAGAACAGGTAATTCAGTTTTAATGATAATAATGATAATAATGATAATGTTTCTTTATTAGCCCTATACAATTTCTTTCATTAGGAATGCGTCTTTTCGCATACCCCAGCTTTTTCTCCATGGAGACACAGACACACAGACAGGGAGAGAAGCTGGGGGTCAGAGCGCAGGGTCAGCCATCGTACGGCGCCCCTGGAGCAGTTGGGGTTAAGGGCCTTGCTCAGGGGCCCAACGGAGTAGGATTCCTCTGCCGGCCGCGGGATTTGAACCGTCAACCTTCCAGTCACAGGCGCAGATCCTTAGCCACAGAGCCACCGCTCCGCCCGGTGGCTACCTGTAGGTAGTTGTACCTACAGGAGACTAGATACGTAATCATTTCGAAGTGGAGTCTGCTGGCATGTGACACCAGCTCTGCTCACTGGGGGTGAACACAAAGACAATCTTCCCTCCGCTTGAAGTCTGGGTCTCAGCGAAATCTCAGCAGGAAGGAGGCTGTGGAGGCCCTGTGGATCCAGTAGGATCGGTGTGGGAGCTGTAGGTCCAGTGGGACCAGTTGGGAGGCTTTAGGTCCAGAAGGACCAACGGAGGTTCTGTGGGTCCAGTGAGCCCAGTGCTGTCAGGCCAGTTAATGTTCCCATTTTCAGAGGTGCCACCAGTGAATCACTGTTGTGCTTCTGCACTGAAACTCACTTTACCCAGTGCCCTGGCCAGGGGACACAGTGAAACCGATACCCAGCGCTAGTGATCCAGCACTGCAGGACATGGCAAGACTGACACTGAGACAACTTAGACTAAACAAATCCAGGCTAATCCGGGGAAGCCTGTGGGCTGGGAACACAGTTGATTGACTGATGGAGGCTGTCAGGCCCGGAAGTTAACTGCAGCAGTGCAGCAGGGCCCAGTGCTGGTGTGAAGCCGTTCCAGTAGGGCGCTGCGTCAGCATGCACAGGCTGCAGAGGAACAAATATATTCCCTGCTGAAAAGAGAAGAAAAGAAACATTTCGGCTGTGGAGCCTTTTTCGGGTTAACACTCGTTAACACTCACACCTGAAACATCGTTTCTTTTCTCTTTTCAGCATGGAGCAAACCTTCACTTGTTCTGCTGTTAGTGTGAAGCCTCCTTTGTTTGGCTGCATGTTGGATGCAGACATTTCTTCAGAGTTTCAGACAAAGTGCACCGAAAACAGACTGGTAGACGATAAGAGTGCCACACGGAGGAATGGTAGAACTGGTCAGGGAGACGCGGGGATAGGGATTTAGTAGCGACTGGGTAGTCAAGACTTGACCCTCCACCACCAGACGCACGCAGACACAAACACACAACCAGCAGGCCTCGACTCATTTCAGACCTGCACTGAACGGGGTGCTGGCAGCGTGCTAGATGCCAGAAACCAGAAACCGCCCCGCTCACCCACCAGGCGCTGCCCGAATCTAATTCATCACGGAATCTCACGATGGAAACGAAAAGTAATGAATAGTTTTCCTCTTTCTTCTCCCCCCCCCCCCTTCATTTCAGGACTCGACAGCGGGGCTCTCTCTCTGGCGCTCGTGTTTTGTTTCGATGCGGTGGGGGGGAGCTAATACGTTTCCAGGACGGAGTGTAGAGCGACCCCCGCCCCCTCCGTGGCGGAGCCGGCAGACTGGCTCACGCTAGCTCGGTGCGTCTGCACGGCGCGGCCCCAGCGTGCCTAGGCCTGCCCCATTTCTGCCTGGAAGGTCACCCTCCTCTTGCGCTGGAGTGTCTGAAGCCGTTGGCTGCTCCCGAACCGTTTGGCTTTTTCTCTAGTAACAGCCCCTCACCATGTTCCTCAATTTCTCCTCCATCTCTATTTCTTAAAGTTTTTTTTTTTTAATGATATAAAAAAAAAAATCCAAGAGCCGAGGTAACGCAAAACGGCAAGCGCCACGCCGCGCCTCTCTGGGAATTTAAGTGCCGCCGCCGCCGCCTCCTCCTTCGCTTTCGCCTGGGTTTATAACGCGATATTACGGCCGTATTTTTTGAAAGAAAGGAAGGGGAAAAAAAAAAACCACACACACATACACACTCCGGAGAGGAAATTCCACACGGCAGCCCAGGCTCCCCCTGCGTGATCTGGATATTACAGTAAGTGGGCTTCGCCCGGTCGCGGGCGGGACGGGACGGGAGCGGCGGGTCCGAGGGGCGAGTTTCTGGGCGGGCGGCGCGCCGGGAGCCGGGCGGGCGGCGTGGGGGATGGGCGAGTGTGGGTGCCGTGTGTTTCCGCGGCCGTGTCCGCAGGTCCGACTGGTGGACGGCTGTGGGCCGTGGTGGGGGATGGGGGGGGCGAGTGCGTGACCTCTGCCCGCCGGTACCGTGTCGTTGTCGTTATCACCGCTTATAAAGACCCCCCCACAACACACACACTACCCGCCGCCTCCATGTGTAAGAACCCCCCCACACACACACAAAGCGTGTTGAAACGGGCAGCCCGTCAGAAGAGAGCGGTGTATTTCTGTTTTAAATTGAATTTAATTTTATCTGACGGTGCGCTTTCGACGCGTGGTTTCTGCTCGGTGTGCGGAGACGGCGCGAGCGGCGAGGCCCCGAGGCCGGGGACGGGAAGGGCACGAGGGGAGCCGCGAGGAGCCAGCGGCTGGGGGTCCTATCACTCACACAGTGTATATACACACACTGTACACACTGTACATAAATACACACACTGTACACAGACAGTATATATACACACACTGTACACACTGTATATATACACACAGTATATACACACACTGTACACACTGTACATAAATACACACTGTATATACACACACTGTACACACTGTA